GTGCATGTTTGCAGTACATAATGGTCACATTCCTCTTGGGGAGCTGGTACATGTACACAACATGTCTTAGTTCTTTTTTCATCTGCCTCTCCCTCTTCCTCCCTCCTCCATCCCCTGGTCACCTTCCCATTTACAAAAGACCCAGCTCCCTATTCCCTACTATCTGTCTTTTATTCTACTCTCTATATTTTGGGTTTCTCGTATATAAGAAACCATGTGATATTTAAGCTTGTGTGTCTTCTTTATTTCACTTAAATTATGGTCTCAAGATGCATCCATTTTCCCACAAATGACTTGTTTATTCTCTCTTTTTTTTTTTTTTTTGGTACCAGGGGTCGAACTTGGGACCTTGTGCTTGCTAGGCAGGCAGCGGAACCACTGAGCTAAAATCCCCGGCCCTACTCGTTTATTCTTAAGGCAGCACTCCATTATGTGTAAACACTATGTTTTCTTTATCCATCTGTTGATGGACATATAGGCCACTTTCAAGATTTAGCTATTATGAATTGTGCTGCCATAAATATGAGAACACATGTATCCCTGTAATATGACGTCTTTAGCTCTTTTGGGAAGATACCTAGAAGGGTCAAATGGAATTTCTAGTTTCAGTTTTTTGAGGACTCTCCATACTGATTTCCACAGAGGTTGTACTTAGTTTACATTCACACCAACAATGTAGAAGGGATCCTTCTTCCTACAGCCTTGCCAGCATTTGCTATTATTTGATTTCTTGATGGTAGCCATTCTTTCTGGAGTGAGATGGAATCTGTGTTGTTTTAATTTGCATATCTCCAGTAGCCAGAGATGTTTTAAAATTTTTTCATGTATTTACTGGCCATTTGTACTTCTGTGATGTGTCCAATCATTTCAGTTGCCTGTTCTTTGATTAAATCTTTTATATTAGAAAGTCTAATGTTTTTGATGAACAAATGCTTTAAGTTGTCATTATAACAGAGTACACAGTTTGGGACCTACCCCCCAAAATAAACATAAAATGCACTGAGGTATGATGTAATACAGAGTGCATATGTAAAATATAAGTTTGGTACACTAGCACATTGTTGAATTTATTTAACATAAATGAGCAAATTATTTTGCTCCCTTGTGCATAATTCTCAGCTACTGTTTTTATGGCTGTGAAATGAATCTTATAAATCACTTACTGTGTCAAGCACCATTGCTTTCTAGTGCTAACACTAGGGCCGAGGATTTAGCTCAGTGGTTCCGCCACCTGCCTCACAAGTGCAAGGTCCCAAGTTTGATCCCCAGTACCAAAAAAAAAAAGTGTGGGATCTAGTGCTAACACTACCTGACCTCCTGTCCCAGCAGATATGGGGCCACTCAGAGCCCAAAGCCCCCGCTCCCCAGGGGCTCAGGGGGAGCCTCGTATCTGCGAAATGAAGACCCCAAGAGTCAAGCGGTGTCCCAAATGCAACGGCTTACTGAGCATTAGAGGGGAGCTCACCCATGGCATGAGCCAGAAGGAAGATGGGGTGCCAAAGGTACAGGACCTTTGGGACAAGGGGACGGCTGGGGCTGGAACTCACTCGATCCGGGCACCGAGCACGGGGCCCACAGGGACCCAGCAGGCAGCATGCTCCTGATGCAGAGTGAGCACAGACAGCTGCTGAGCTCCAGCCCTGCAGAGTTCACTGTGCTGAGCCAGAGCACCAGCTGAAAAGCAGCCAGGCTTCGTCTGTGCAGCCGGGGTCTGATAGGAACAATCTGTGCTAGCCTTATAGCAGAGTACAAATAACATGTGCTTAGCCTATGATGGTAAAAATATATTTTCTTTATGATAAAAATCTATTTTTAGAAAACATATTTCCTCAATTTCTCAAAAAGGGTTCACAAGATAAGCTTGGCACACAGGCTGGTTACCACACAGGTGGTTACATGGGCACACAGGCTGCATGCTGATCACAGGAGTCACACGCCAGTGTAGACTCGCCTGACAGAAGTGGAAGATGGCTTCGGTCTCGCTCACATCACCCATCTACAGCTGACAGATGAATATCTAGGAAATACAATTTTTGCACGGAAATAATTTTACACAAAGCAAACAACAAACCGAACCAACAGACTTAATTTTAGCATTTTAAATTAATATTGAAACCATTACTAATCGATGTATTTTAAAATTAAAAGGGGCTGAGCGTGGTGGCATACATATGTAATCCCAGCGCTCTGGAGGCTGAGGCAGGAGGACTGCTGTGAGTTTGAGGTCAATCTGGGCTACACAGTGAGTTCAAGGCCAGCCTGAACTACACAGCAAGAACCTAAATAAATAAATAAAACAGTTTATACAGCTTCTTCCCATGCCTAATAAGTTCCATTTATTAACACCAGAGCACTGTTGGATACTTATATGCTTATTTGTAATTCAAAAATAATCATAAAAAGTAAGCATTTCACCTCTATTCTGATAATAGAAATAGCAGTAACAGGTAACACTACTGAGTAACAGCACTGTTATAAACCCTTAGCATGCATCTCCTCATTAAATTTCCATCACAAGCTCTAAAATAAGAGTGTCATAATGTTCAAATGGGGAAACTGAGACTCAGATTTAATTAGCTCATTCATGGCCCAGCTTCAGTTTTTCCATCTATACAAATGGGAATACAACGACTTGATTTACAGCATGTTGTGAAATGAACCTTAGAAATGAGGAATTTGAATGAGGTAACATATTTAATGCACCCAACCCAGTGTTGACACGAGACAATAAATAATCTCAATTGCTATCATAAAGTGGTTCTAGAACTGAAAGCGTCCAGTGCAGCCCAGGGATGAATAGGACCCCTCTTACATTCACTGATCAAGGCTCCAACGGCAGCCAGCATTCCCTCCCCTCGGGCTCTGCCTTGAGAACACGGAGCCCAGTCACACAGCAGGTGTGCTCAGAGGAGGCTACAACAGGGACTGCAGCCTGAGAGCCACCAGTGCAGGGAGAGTCGGAAGAGAACATGAGCCCTGCATGGGCTCATCCGCCTGGGTGCAAATCCCAGCCCGCTGGCTGGGCTCTGCAACTCAGGCACTCGTCTCCTGGCTGTCCCAGACTGGGAACACACTGCCCAGTAAGAAGCACCACTGTCACTGCTGGACTTGACTCCCCCAGCCCTGCTGGGTGACGCGTCCTGGTGGCCCACAAACATCACAACTGCCGAGGTCAGCAAGCAACAACCAGAAGGCCAAACCGTGCCTGCCGACAGTTTGGTACATATTGTTTTACTGGAATGCAGCCACACCCAATCAAGTCACATATTGGTCCAGGCTGCTTTCCTAGAGTTGGGCAGCTACAACTGAGACCACATGGTCCACAAAGCCAAAAACATCTACTATCCGTCCCTCTACAGAAAATGTTTGCCTACCCTTAAATAAATGGATGAAACATTCAATATCCTCCCCCACCCCACCGGTAATTTTGAGGATAGAATGAAAAATAGATGTGAAAACTTTATAAATGTTCCGGGTTAGCAAATATGAGAAATTATTCACCCCAAAAATACTTCCCTGCTTCCAAGCTTTAAATCCAAGGGGAAACTACTGCCAAGAAGAGGGACTGCCAAGTCCCACCACCGGCTCCACCACTACTAACTACCTGCTCTGGGCAAGATTCTCAGCTTCCCCCACCTGAGAATATCCATCATCTGTCCCCAGGAACAATGTCAAACGTGTGGGGCTGAAGGATAAATGGGACAGAGGCAGCTTTCAGCAACCTCTAGCAAGTATCAGGCAGTGTCAGCTCTTGAACATTATTATCCTCACTGTAGCCACTACAGGAAGGTTACCTGTTCAGACACTAGACATCCTCTCCTAGTATCTATCCTCGCAGGAATTATGGGTGTCAGACAGGCAGAAAAGCTGCAGAATGCAATCTGTTAGGCAGTCTAAGAAAGAAAGAGCTAAGACTTTCCTATATTCTTTTGTGTCAAGACTGAATTTTTCCCTTCTCCCACCAACATTCTCCCCTCAACAACAATAAATTTTGAGCCGAGTGTGGTGGCACATGCCAGGAAACCCAGCACTGGGAAGGCTGAGGTGGGAGGACTGCTTCGAGTTGAGGCCAGCCTAGGCTATAGTGAGTTTAAGGCCAGCCTGAACTACAGAGACCTTACCTCAAAAAACCAAACCACACAAACACACACACACACACACACACAAAAGAAGAAATTTTTAGAAAGAAGCTAAATGTTTACTTCCACATTTAGAAAAGTAAGCTTTATAGAGTAAAACAAATTAACTGAATCAATACCATTACAAGTGAAATGCTGACATTTTGGTATCTAACAAGAAAAAATCAGCCAGGCATGTTCATATATGCCTATAATCTCAGCACTTGGGAGGCTGAGGCAGGAGGGTCACTTCAAGTTCAAGACCAGAATAGGCTACATAGTGAGTTCAAGGTCAGCCTGAACTGCATAGCAGGCCCTATCACAAAAAAGAAAAAAAGTCTCATAAAACAAACACATTAAAAAGAAGGTACTGAGTACCTGAAGGTACTGGGGGACTTTGGGGCTGATGGAAATGCCCTTATCTGGATTGTAGTGATGGTTATGTGGGTTTATACATTTATGATACTTAATCCATGCACTTAAAATGGGCATATTTTATTGCATCTAAATTATACCTTGATAAAGTTGGTTTTTAGCAGGGTGTGGTGGCCCACACTGTAATCCCAGCACTCGGGAGCCTGAGGCAGGAAGATCACCCCGAGTTTGAGATTGCATAGTGAGTTCAAAGCCAGCCTGAACTACATAATGAGACCCTGTCTGAAAAAAAAATAAAGTTAGTTTTAAAAAGGTTCTTTGTGCTTGCTGCCTTATGCTGCCATGAACTGTTTCTCCTTGGTATGCCTCTCTGCCATGCCACCCAGTCTTGGAGCCAACCGTGAACTGAAACCTCTACATACTGTGAGCCAAATAAACCTTTCACCCTTTAACTTTGGGTATTGGGTATTTTCTCTCAGCAATGAAAAATGTAACTAAGACAGGTGGAAAACACTGTGTGATGTGATCCTCATGGTCCAGGAGAGAAAGATACCTGCTCATCGTGTTGTCCTTGCTGCAGCCAGTCATTTTTTTAACTTAATGTTCACAACTAACATGCTTGAGTCAAAGTCTTTTGAAGTAGAACTCAAAGATGCTGAACCAGATATTATTGAACAACTTGTGGAATTTGCTTATACTGCTAGAATTTCTGTGAATAGCAACAATGTTCAGTTTTCATTAGATGCAGCAAACCAGTATCAGATTGAACCTGTGAAGAAAATGTGTGTTGATTTTTTGAAAGAACAAGTTGATGCTTCAAATTGTCTTGGGCTTAAAGAAAAGGGAAGAAGATTGGAATACTAGGAAAGCAAGGAGCAAAGAAAAGTGGAATCAAGGAAATAAGAGAGGCCTGGGGATCTAGTCAAGACTAAGATTTTTTACCCAACGGAATATGTGTGCTTGCAGAGTGTCTGGATTGTCCTGAATTGAAAGCTACAGCAGATGACTTTATTCATCAGCATTTTACTGAAGTTTACAAAAGCGATGAATTTCTACAATTTGATGTCAAGCGAGTAACACATCTTCTTAACCAGGACACTCTTGACTGTGAGGGCAGAGGATCAGGTTTATGATGCTGTAGTCAGGTGGCTGAAATACGATGAACCTAATCACCAGCCATTTATGGTTGATATCCTTGCTAAAGTCAGGTTTCCACTTATATCAAAGAATTTCTTAAGTAAAATGGTACAAGCTGAACCACTTATTCAAGACAATCCTGAATGCCTTAAGATGGTGATAAGTGGAATGAGGTACCATCTACTTTCTCCAGAGGATCGAGAAGAACTTGTAGATGGCACAAGGCCTAGAAGAAAGAAACATGATTACCGCATAGCCCTATTTGGAGGTTCCCAAGCACAGTCTTGTAGATATTTTAACCCAAAGGATTATACCTGGACAGACATCTGCTGCCCCTTTGAAAAGCGAACAGATGCAGCATGCGTATTTTGGGACAATGTAGTGTACATTTTGGGTGGCTCTCAGCTTTTCCCCATAAAATGAATGGACTGCTACAATGTAGTAAAGGACAGCTGGTACTCTAAACTGGGCCCTCCAACACCTCAAGACAGCCTTGCTGCCTGTGCTGCGGAGGGCAAAATTTATACCTCTGGAGGCTCAGAAGTAGGAAACTCAGCTCTGTATTTATTTGAGTGCTATGATACAAGAACAGAAAGCTGGCACACGAAGCCCAGCATGCTGACTCAGCGCTGTAGCCATGGGATGGTGGAAGCCAATGGCCTGATCTATGTTTGTGGTGAGAGCTTAGGAAACAATGTTTCTGGGAGAGTGCTTAATTCCTGTGAAGTTTATGATCCTGCCACAGAAACATGGACTGAGCTGTGTCCAATGATTGAGGCCAGGAAGAATCATGGGCTGGTATTTGTAAAAGACAAAATATTTGCTGTGGGTGGTCAGAATGGTTTAGGTGGTCTGGACAATGTGGAGTATTATGATATTAAATTAAATGAATGGAAGATGGTGTCACCAATGCCATGGAAGGGCATGACAGTGAAGTGTGCAGCAGTTGGCTCCATCGTTTATGTCTTGGCTGGTTTTCAAGGTGTAGGCTGATTAGGACACATCCTCGAATATAACACTGAAACAGACAAATGGGTGGCCAATTCCAAAATCCGTGCTTTCCCAGTCACAAGTTGTTTAATTTGTGTTGTTGATACTTGTGGAGCAAATAAAGAGACCCTTGAAACATGAAAAATGAGTAGGCTTCAAGACTCATCAAGACTTGGAAATATGGCCACCAGGGCTTTGTTCCATGAGTTAGTTACAAAGTTCTGGTTTGGTGTTTTGGTGAAGGAAATTTCAAGTGAGTGAAGTAAGATCCCTATAACATAATCCCTCCTTCCTTCCCCACTCTTGGAGATTGAACCCAGAGGTATTCTACTGAGCTACAGCTCCAGCTCTTTTATCTTGAGAGAGGGTCTCTACATTGCCCAGACTTCCCTCCAACTTGGAATACTCCTGTCTCAGCCTCCTATGTAGCTGAGGTTACAGGTGTGCACCACCACACCCGGCTAAATATTTCTTTTACATGGATTTCCTTACTTAACTCTTAGACCATCATTTAGCTGGCCACATAATCAGGAACATATCTAGCAAGAAAACTTGAGAAATTATAAGCATTTGTTGGATATATTAATTTCTTGAATGAATTTTACATTTGTAATAATTATGGCAGAGTGAGGGATGCTCATCACTGAAGCAACCTCATCATGGCTCTAGATTCTATTTTCATATACATGTAAGTACTACGTAGTTAGGTCTGTTTGTTCCTGTTTGGTCCACAACTGAGAAATACGGTAGTATGACTTGTAAGTCAAGATGGGTAGCTCTGATGGAACAGTTTTGTGTCTCATAGTTTTACTTGTCTTGATTTGTTTCATTTACTGCCAAATGTATTCCATTTCAAAGAAAGCAGAGTAAGTCAGGGTATACACATACTTTCCTACAAAACCTCATAAACAGATTTTTAGACTCAACAATGTGTCCAATCCTCATGAAATATATTCAATTCAACTCAATATATTCCAACAGTTTAACATAAGATGTTAAACTTTGTGCCTATCATTATTTTTTTTTTTTTTTTACTCAGTGGTCTAAAAAGTGTTCTATAGCTTCAGTCCCCACTGTTAAATAAAATCCAGTCATAATGAGTGATTAGCAGAAGACAAAGGTATTTAAAACTTCTAGATCATTAGAAAAACAGTGACAGCTTTATCACAGTATCAATGTTGACTTTGAACCTCTTATTAATTAAAAAGATACGTGATTTCTTTTCCCTTAGAACACATGAGAGATATTTAATACTGTTGTCTCTAAAAGTTTTGTAATAATTTAAGTGTATGTCATCACCTGTTAACTGCTTTTATGTGGTCAATAAATTATTTGCCAACACAACTACTAATTTCTTTCCCAGTAATGTTTTACCCTTTTCATTACGTATGAAATGAGCCATGTAAAACTGTCATCGTCATTGTTTTTATCTGGTATTAAATATTTTTTACTTTAAAAAAAAGTTAGTTTTAAAAAGAGTAATAAATATTATTTATATTTATATAAGAAAAATAAATATTGAATTTTTCCATATAAAATTTTTAAAATTATGACAGCTAGGCATGGTAGTACATGCCTATAACCCCACCACCCAGGAAGCTGAGGCAGGAGAATCACAGTGAGTTTGAGTCTACTCTGGGATACATAGTGAGTTCAAGGCCAACCTGAGCTACATACTGAGACCTTATCTCAAAAAGCAAAAAAAAATAAATTTTTAATTATGCCAAAATAAAAATGCAGATATTGATGGTATTACAAAAATGGCTATCACTTGTACAGCATTCTATGTGCCAGGCATTACTCTACATGTTCGTGTATCTACTAACTCTTTAGTTCTTCATAACACCCCTCTGAAGGGGCTTGGTGTTACCCCCAGTTTACAGATGATGAAACCAGGGCATAAGGAAAAACTCACTGTTACTCTGCCAAGACCACAAACCACAACTGAGTGACAGACAGGACTCAGTCTCTGACACAGTGCAACCTCAGTGCCTGTGAGCTCAAATCCTCCCCTCACACCTTCTGAAAGGTTTGAAGAAACAGAATTTGTAAATTCAGCAAAGTGAGCTGTGTAACAAAGCGAAGCTCATCACAAAGAGCCAGAGCTAGAGACTTCTCATCACAGGATGCATCTCAGTCACAATTACAAAAGTAGGTGTGTGGTTATTCCCCAGATCCACTCTCCCTCCAGGCAGAGGTACAGGAGCCAAATCCACAGCTACATTCACACGACCAAGCCCATACCTAGCACCAAAAACGCTGCCTGAAGGAAGGATAAGGAACAAGTGTGTGTCCAGAAATTCACTAGCACATTTATTTAATACACCAAGTTTCCATTGATAGAAATTGTGTACGTATGTGTATACAAGTATACATTACTGCTTCTTGAATGCAGAGGCTATTCTGATTAATAAGTTATAAAACTGTTACTGAACATATCACTGCTCTGTCACTGTGGGAACATGTAGAATATTCCTCAGCATACCTATGAACCAAGCATTACACTTTTGCATGTTATTTACTGTCACATATAAAGCTGACAATTCTCTAAGCTAGGAGCAATTATCCCATGGTTTACTCCATAGCCTGAGCTCCCATCCAAGTCAAAACATTATTTTCAGTGAACCTGACACATAGTTCTAAAGTTTTCTGGAAGGAAAAAAGATTTATAGGACTTGTCTTGACAAAGCAAATCAAAACTATGGAATTGGGATAGGAGTGTGTATTAGCTAAAAACTGACACTCCAACTCTAGCGTTTCCTCCTTCTACTAAATGCCTTTCGCATTCTATTAAAAACAAAAGCCCTCTGTCTCCCTCATTTATCTAGTTATTTCTCATCAAGATGTACTCAAGCATTCTTACTACTTTTAGTGCTCTACAAGGTGTGATCAAAATATACAGTGAATGCTTAAAATTTTTTTTTTATGCATTACACACAATGTAAAAGAAACACTGCCATTAATCTTGCTCAAAACACTCCCCCTCACTTCAAACACACTTATCCCATCATTCTTGCCACTTTTGGAAGCCATTTTGGAAGTCCTCTTTCATGAGTGTTTATAAGACATGATAAAAATATTGTGAATACTGCTGCTGAGTGCCATCCAATGGAACGGTGGGCATATAACTGACAGGTACCCCAAGTCGGACCCCCACCCAAGCAGACCTGCTACCCACATGCACAGGAGCACAGAGATAACAAAAAGCCAGCAGCCGCCCCGCTGCTCCTACCACAGCCCTGTTTATCAGCCAGCCCCCAGCCCTGCTGCTCCCACCACAGCCCAGTTTATCAGCCAGCCCCCAGGCCCATCACCCATGGGACTCTAAAATTTTCCTCTCTTGACCAGTGCCCCCTCCCTACCTAAAATGCCCCGGATTAAACAAGAGCACCCTCCCCTCAGTGCCAACAGCCTTCTCGCCCTTGGCCTATTTGCACCCAGATGGCAATAAACTCTTCACATGTTGCTTAGACTTCGCCTGCCTCAGTAGTCTCAATCGTGCCTCGGTCTGACCTTACATTTGGTGGCCCTGGGGCTGGCAGATAAACAGGGTGGTGGTGAGAGCAGCAGAGGGGCTGCTGGCTTGTAATCTCTGTGCTCCCGTGGATGCTGGCAGTGGGTCTGCTTGGGCAAGGGTCCAACTTGGGGGACCTGTCATCCCTGCCTGCTATGTTATAAAGAAGAAGAAAAAAAAAGAGTAGAGGCATAGTTTCTCATGACTTCTTCTAGCGTGACTGGGGACAGCATGAGCCTCCTGTTGGGGGGGGGGGGGTTCAGTCCCGGAATGAGGCAGCAGAGGTGTCAGGGTCATGATGACCTTCTGGCTCTTTTTAGGGGTCAGCTGGAGGCTTTCATGGAACAGCAGTGTAGTGGGCAGTCAGGCGGAGTTGTCTGGATATCATGGATCAGATCTGTTCCTGGATAAAATCTGTCAAAAAATTTATTATGTAGGGTCCAATCAATAACAGTAGAAAGATTAGGACAAGGGACCCTAACATGGGGAGAAGCCAGGACACCCAGCCTGCTCGGAAAAGACTTTCCTAACCATGGATAGGACCACCTTTTGCCTGTTTTCTGTACCTGATGGCTTGATCCTGGGGGGCTGGTGAAGCTAAGCTGGCAGCAAATGTGAGGACCAGGGGTATATACGTGAGCAGGAAGGGAAGATGGCAATACATAAGGGAGTTAGGCTGCCAGTGTGGCTAGAAAGAGGATCAGGAGAAGGGTCTAAAGGTAGATTTTGTGTCGGGAGAAGTCACAGAGGGTTTCCTGGAATAGGTCCTCGATCCAGTGGAGGAACTAAATGTGGGAAATCGATCTGAGGGTGGGGGAAAAGGAGGTGTTCTGCCCAGAGCAGAAGGGATTCCAGCAAATCAGCCTGAGGGGAGTGAGGGGCAGTCTTTGGCTAAGGAAGGATTCAGGGAATGAGTATAACAACATTAGGATCATCACCCATCTTATCCACTGGATCAGCACCATGTCTTCTGGCTCTTTCTCAAAGTCAAAATGACCATAAAAGATAAATATTTAGAATCAATTCAGGACATCGAGGCAGGCATGACAGCACAATTAAAGATAGTCATGAAAAAGAATTTCCCCAACTCCTTCATAAGGTGGCAAAAATGATGGGATCAGTATGTTTGAAGAGAGAGGGAATATTTTGAGGGGGAGTAATAGCAACGTGTCTTTTACTGTAATAAAATTTTTAATTAAACACTCACTGTATTTTTTATACCACGTACACTACAGTTCTTTTTTTTTTTTTTTTGGTACCAGGGATCGAACTCAGGACCTTGCACTTTTGAAGCAGGCACAGTGCCACTGAGCTAAATTCCCGGCCCTACAGTTCTTTTTCTTTTTAATTAAATTCTTTTATTGGTACATTGTAGGTATACAACACAATTACATTTCTCATTGGGAATTGTACCTTTACATAATGCTTCTTGGTTCTTATTTTTTCCCCATTCCTAGCGCTCCCTTCACCCCCTCTACCCTTCCCTATTTACAAAGACTTTATTTCCATTTTTTTCCATTTCTCAGCATTCTTCCTTTCCCTTCTTTCCTTTCCCCTGCCCCTCCCACTACACCTACCCCTTTGGACCTTTTCTTCCTATTTTGCATTATCGATTGTTCATTCTAATCATTGGTACATTGTAGGTATACAATATAATGACATTCCATCATTGGAAATTTGCACCTTTACATAGTCTCTCTTGGTTCTTATTTTTCACCCTTGCCCAGCCCTCCCTTCAACCCCTCCATTCCTCCCTATTTACAAAGATTTTGTTCCTATTTTTCCATTTTCTCATATTAATCCCATTCCCTTCTATCCTTTCCCCTACCCCTCCCACTTTCTTCCCCTTTGCCCCTTTTCTTCCTGTTTCACATTACCTATTATACACTTAGTCCTTATTTACACTTTCAGTTTCTCACACCAGAGACACTATTCGGTATTTATACACCTGCAGTTCTTAATTATTGCACTACTCAAACTGTCCCAAACTATTATGTAACTTTTTTTTTAATTCTCATAATTTACTCCCTCCTAGACACCAGCTTGATCACCAGCCCAGAACCAACCGCTCCTTCCATCCTTCTGCACACTTTTTGTTGTAAGCACCTAATTCCCTTCTTAAACTCTTCTTCCTTAAACTACCTAGATAGATGGCTCCCCAACAACTGCAACTCCACAGAAAGGGACAGATGACAGAGAAGACTACAAACAAACAAGGTCCTACAGAGAGTGATCAGTAGCTAAGAGGAAACAAACAAGACACACAGTAGAGAAAAGGGAAAGATTGCTTTGAAGATAGAATCAGAGAAGGGCTTCCCGGTGAACCTGACCTTCATAGTGAGGATGAGAAGTTGAGGAGTTGAGTGGAATGGAGTCAGCCAGGCCAGGAAAAATCCAGGCAAAAAGGGGGAATGAATTTGTCATGTTCAGAAAATTGAATGGGAGCGAGGCAGCTACAGCAGAAAGAAAAGGAAAGAAGGGGCAGAAAACAAGCAGGAAGGAAGGCAAGAGCCAGAC